AACGTAAGTGATACTTGTCATGTTTTACTTGTGCAATAGACAGATTACTATGTGAAGCCTTTTAAAAAAAACTAGACACTATATAAAAAATAACCCCATATTTATGGAAAAGGTGGCAAACGAGCATGCGGCTCAACTGATGGTAAGTGACTACCACGGTCCATGAACAACCGCAACACCAGGGGAATTGCAGATTACGATTACGTTACCGGCCTTTTAGAAAGGAGTAAGCTCTTTTCTTGAAGGTCCTTAAGTCGTATCGGTCCGGAAAAGTCGCCAGTGGTAAACAATTCCACAGAGAAGTTGTACGGGAAAGAAAACTCCTACTAAAACATACAGTAGTGGACCAAGCATCCAGATGGTGAGGATAGTATTGAGAATTTTGACGCGATGCGCGTTCGTGAAATTTGGCGGCTAGAAATAATCCGAACAATTCCTCAGAACATTCTCCATGGTACATACGATACAAAACGCAAAGAAAACATCTTTACGCAGTGCCAGTGAATCGTGCCAATCGGAAAGAACTCGGTCGCCGACGATCCGAATCGTTCTGCATTGGATGCGGTCAAGTGGAAGGAGCTGGACTGGAGTGCCCCGGGCCAGAGATGAGTATTCCATGTGAGGCCGAACTTGCACTTTGTAAAGTTGCAAACGATGTGCAGCCTGAAATATTTTCTCGCTCTGCTGAAATATTGAAATATTCTCGAGAAATATTGGCACAGCCGATGTATAAGGCATCACCAGTGCTGTCGCCCGCATAGCAATGAATGTTTTCAGTTTGCAATATATCATTGTTAGCGTTGTTGATCGCACGCAGCCTTGTGGAACACCAGCATTAATATAGCAATAATCGGAGCTTGCACCGTCTACAACGACCTTGATGCTCCGATTAGCAAGAAAGCTAGTGATCCAATCACACAATTTCTCGGGAAGCCCATAGGAAGGGAGCTTCAAAGAAAGCTTCGGAGAAGCGGTTTGTGCCAGACCCGATCGAAAGCCTTCGCCATGTTGAAACTAACGGCCAATGCCTCCCCCTTGAAATCTAATGCCTCCGCATATTTACGAGTCAGGTAGACCAGAAGATCACCAGCTGATCGATCACGACGGAAACCGTTTTGGCGGTTGCTGATCGGCTGGTGATCCTCAAGGTGAGGTACCTTGCTGACCTGGCAGTTTGAAATAGACTCCAATATTTTGGAGAACAAGGAGGTAATGGCGATAGGCCTGTAGTTGGACGGGTCTGAGCGGTCGCCTTTTTAGGGACCGCCAATACGGATCAAAACTGTCTTCCATGAATTCGGGACTTCACTTTGGGAGTAGAAGTATCGGAAAAGACGCGTAAAAACCGGTGCCAACTCCGGAATCACGTCTTCAGCACAATGGGAGGGACTCCATAAGGCCCCATCGACGTACTGACGTCCAGGGAGAAGAGTGGTTTGGGATACGAGCGCTGTGTGAACCGCACATCCGGCATGGAGCACTCACACTAGTAAAAAGAGTCTCCGGTTACTACACGCACCATACGAGACACAGCAGCATTAATCTGATATTTTACGATGATATTCTGTAAGAGCGTGGTCCTTTCTCAGTCGAGCCTACCCATTCGTGCAACAACTATACTACAAATATAGCTGCAGCATGGCATTACTTAAAATTGAACTGAATAGACGCCAATGACTTCACTCGTTTTAATTAATCTATAAATCTAACGCTTCCGCATTTCATCCTGTTCATGGTTTTGAATGAGTCGACAGGTAAATGAATTATGAGTAGCCGCATTTTCCTGATAACAACATAAAATAATTTAAAAAATGCACCTGCCAAGAAGGGTCTACGTTTAGCGGTGGACCGTTGATGGAATTGAATGATAACGATGTTGATCTAACGTTTCTTGACAAGAAGATTTGAATGCATTATAATTAAAGTGGAATCTCATCTTTTTGAGGAAATTCAGATTACCATTACACAAATATACGAATCGAACCAACGACCCGTACCTGTGTGGTCTCAATCTTAACACTTAGCTACAATCACCTAGACAAAAGAAAAGTGTTACAGTGGTTACGATCTTTGATAAAACTATCATAATTACTTTCTTTTTCCCGATATATTCACTGTTGTGTACTTTTATTACGTTGTTGAATATACTTTACTAATATTTTAAACTTAGAGCTTTAATGAAATTTGCTAGAAAAGTTAGAGTTAACGAGGACTTTAACGAAAGAATAATATCTTTTCCCGGCTTTCACGTTATTAAGCATAAAATTTCAACTTTGCGTTAAGTATTTCTTACTCACTTTGTATCGAGATTAACTTTTTTATTTCATTTCTTCTTGATTAAGATGATTCCGTTGAAAATGGATCTACTTCGGTAACATTTTCAAATATCGTATAAAATTGGATGAATCGTTTGATAAATTGGCATTTATAGAAGAATAAAGTATCTACTAAAACAACCGTGTACCGCTGGTATAACGAATTTCAGTACGGTTGATTAACTTTGTGAAACTAACAAAGAAGTGGTTTCCAGTTGACGCGTGATACGGAAGAAAATAAATTTGAAGCAGACCATGTTTAAGATGTTATTACAGGTGATAAATTTCTGATTTATCAATATGATTCAGAAACGAAGCGCCAGTTGACTAACACTATCCTAAATCTACCAGGTGAGTGGCAAAGTAGTTCGATAGACTCTATAAATATTAAACGGGGTATATTCCAGGGAGATAGTTTGAGCCCAACTTTGTTTTGTTTAGCCCTGAATCCTTTAAGCACTGCTATTGAGGAATCCGGATTAGGGTTTCGGTTTCAAAAAGAAAACTCACCGATCTCACATCTACTTTATATGGATGATCTCAAACTATTCAGATCAAAAGAGAGTAATCTACTATTTTTGTTGAAATTAACACATAGTTTCAACAATGATATTAGAATGGAATTTGGAATAGATAAATGTGCTGTCATCAACGTAAATAGGGGCAAAATTAAAGATTGCAATAAATTTGCAATTACAAATGACTTATACTTCAGTTCTCTTTCTGAAACAGAAACCTATAAATACTTGGCAATGGCAGAAGCACTAGGAATTAATGACAAAAATATTAAAGAAAATTCAAAAGTAAAATTTATGTCAAGATTAAAAAAAGTTATCAAAAGTCATTTATCCGGCGGAAACAAAATTAGAGCATATAACTCCTGGGTAATACCTAGCCTTCTATATACTTTTGGTGTTACAAGGTGGTCTCAAACAGAATTGGATGACTTAGATAGACGAGTCCGTACATTAATGACTACACACAGAATGCACCACCCACGATCTTGGTTGTATCTTCCAAGAAAAGATGGTGGACGGGGATTATTAAACATTAAAAACCTGCACAACCATGAAGTATACAACCTCAGAGACTATTTTATTAAAAAAAATACACATCGCACATTCATAATGACGTAGTGATTAATGACAAATCATTAACCCCGCTTAATATGTCGGCAAAGGACTGGCAGAGGCCTCATACTATGACTATGGATGAACGCAAAAAGGTTTGGAATGACAAACAACTGCATGGTCGATTTTTTAAAGCATTGACTAATCCTTGTGTAAACATGGTTGCATCAGTACATTGGTTACAATTTGGTGACCTTTTTGCAGAAACTGAAGGTTTTATCTGTGCAATACAAGATGAAGTAATTAAAACGAACAACTACCGGAGATACATTCTGAGGGACGGCACAGTTGACGTATGTCGCGCATGTCACTACCCTGGAGAGTCCCTCAGACATGTTATTTCCGGTTGTTCACAACTATCAAATGGTGAGTATTTGCACAGACATAACCAAGTAGCTAGAATAATACACCAACAGCTTGCCATTATATTTGGCTTTACTCCACAGGACGTTCCATATTATAAGTATGAACCAAAGCCAGTCCTTGAAAATAGAAGTGTCACACTGTACTGGGATCGATCAATTATCACAGACAGGTTTATAGTGGCAAATAAACCTGACATTGTGGTGATAGACCGAACTACACGCAAGGCAATAATAGTTGATAACAGTGTTCCTCATGACGAGAATCTCGTAAAAGCAGAGAATGATAAAAAAATTAAATATATCGACCTGGCTCATGAGATTGTCGCTATGTGGGACGTTGATTCTACTATTATTGTACCAATAGTTGTTTCAGTCAATGGGTTTATTGGTAAAAATATGGACGATTATCTGTCCAAGTTAGGTTTGGGTAAATGGCTGAAGGCATTAATTCAAAAATCGGCCTTATTAAATACGGCTCGAATAGTAAGAAGGTTCCTATCTTTGGATGCCTAACTTCACCGATGGCTTAGGATTCCTCGCCGCGGTGGATACTAACCGAAATAATAATATTATTTATATAGATTGTATTTATATTTATAATATTATAGTTTTATGATAATATATAATAATAATAATAATAATGTAATAATATGTAGTAATAATATGGCGTAGGGAATTGACGACCCCATCGCCCGCTGACGTAACAGTTAAGTGACAAAACTGCTACGTCAACGCAGTCGTCAGCGCCTTGCGAGAGGTGTGAGCGCCGTGCCTCGGCAGAATTCAGGGTGCAAAGGCCCGTTTGTGCTTATGGCCGTCCACGATACGGTGCCGGGCCTGGGCGTCTCCCGTTAATGGACGCCCATATTACGGATGATGGAGAAAAGATAGTGCGCAAAGGGCCGCTGCCTGGAGGTCGCCAGGGCGCGTCTGGAGCTGGCGCTGGACGCGACAGCATGCGGGCCGCCAGCCGAGCGCGGGGTGTTTCAAGACCACCTAGCAGCCCCCCGCATCCATCATCCCCACCAGAAGGCTTGGTGTCGGTTGGGTCTTCTCGGACTCAGCAATCGGCACCCGCCGCTGGTGGAGCACGTCGCATGCGTTGGTCTAAATCAATGAATGAAAACGCACTGCGGGCGTATTTTAGGGCAAAAGGGGAAGAAACTGGATGTTTGGCGTATCGGGCTCGGATGCATTGCTTTTTTGCAGAGCTGGAGCCATCTCTATCCGTCACTGAGCAAAACCTGGCAGACCGAGTTAGGTACATCCTGCGCTCCAACATATTTGGTGACGCCGAACTCGAGCGACTACGACGTGAGGCTATTCCTTCATCGAATGGAAATGCTACGGCTGGGAATGCGGCGCCACTAGATGCGCAACAAACTGCATATGTGGATGCTGCCGTCAACATTCCATTTGTGGCTAATTCAGACGATGATGGAATAGTCTCCCACGAACTAGAGAAAATGAGGAGCATATTGGAAGAGTCGATGCTGGAAACGCGCAGCATGCCTCTCGAAAATCGACCGCGAATTCCCCGCATACCCCTTAGCAAGCGAAATCGGGCTGTCGTGCGGGCTCTTAACCCAATGCTGGTGACCTATTTGGAAGCCAGCCGGGACCTTTGCGAGACGGATTCAATTCTTTTTTGGCGCCGCACTGGCAGTATGCCGTATTATTGGCGCCAAACTTCCCGTGGCTGGACGTGCTACTCAAAAAAGTAGCGCCATCCCAGCCTGGAGAAAAAGAATTGAGGACCGTATCGCAAAGGCAAGGGCCCTTATCGGCAGACTGACAAGCTTCAGGTCGGGTAATAATAGACCGAGGATTATGCGCACCGTTAGGATGGCGTTTGCTGAGACAAATATCAATTTGTTCCAGCCGGATATCACGCAAAAACTAACGGAGCGCATAGATGACCTGAAGCAAAAAATCGCTGCTTGGGGGAAGCGGATTCGACGATTTAGCGAGAGGTCAAGGCGGTTCAACCAGAATCGTCTCTTCCAGAGTGATCAGAAGAGGCTCTATAAAACATTGGAGCGACCAGAGGTATGTGGAGCGGGCCCAGGACCGGATCAGGCTGACACTGTCGCATTTTGGCGTGGCCTGTGGTCAGAGCCCGTAAACCACAGCGAGGGCCCTTGGATGGAAGTTGTGGCGAGCCAGAGTGCAAGTTTTACGCCTATGGACCCCGTCACCATAACGCCTGAAAACGTGGCTGAGGCGGTCCGTAGGGCCCCGAACTGGAAAAGTCCGGGGCTCGACGGGCTGCATCATTACTGGCTGAAGGGGTTCGTAGTGTGTCACGCTGTGCTCGCCCGACAGTTTCAAGAGGCTCTCGATCAGAAGTCGCTCCCGAGCCTTTTCACTACTGGGATCACTCATTTGGTTCCTAAAGATCAGGATACCACAGACCCGAGCAAATACCGCCCCATCACGTGTCTACCCACCATATATAAGACACTGACATGCATTTTGAGCGCGAGAATCACTCGTCACCTGGAGCTAAATCAGGTGATGTCACGCGCTCAAAATGGATGCCGGGGCGGTGGTCGTGGAACCAAGGAACCACTCCTCATTGACGCGGTCATTGGCAAAGTGGTGAAACGCAACCGTCGGAATTTCTCCGCCGCCTGGATAGACTACAGAAAGGCATTCGACTCGGTGCCCCATACATGGCTAAAGAGAGTCCTCCAGCTGTACAAAATTGACTATACAGTTGGAGACTTCCTCGAGCATTGTATGGGGCAATGGAGTACGATCCTTTGCTATCTGGGCGAGCGGATGATGGCTGCGGAGAACCACATAAGGATAAGAAGGGGTATCTTCCAGGGCGATTGTCTGAGTCCAATCTGGTTTTGCCTCTCCCTGAACCCTCTCAGTACTTTACTGGAGGGCTCCGGGAGGGGATTTCAGCTTCGGAAAGGAGGTACTAAAGTGACCCACCTTTTCTATATGGATGACCTCAAGTTATTCGCCTCCAGTCGCTCCCATCTTATGGAATTGCTAAACATCACTTGTGAATTTAGCAATTCTATTGGAATGGAGCTGGGAACGGATAAGTGTGCGGTCCTCCATGTTGAAAGGGGGAGGGTTGCTAACTCTGAGGGCATAGACTTATCTATGCCCGTCAACTTAAGGACCCTTTCCGAGGCTGAAACATACCGATACCTGGGTATGTCACAGAACATCGGTATCGATGAGGCTGGTATGAAACAGTCAGTTTGCGACGTGTTTTATGCACGCTTGACCAAAGTGCTTAACAGCCTTTTGTCCGGTGTGAATAAGACACATGCATATAACGGCTGGATCATGCCTGTCCTCATGTATACCTTTGGCATACTCAGACGAACTCGCACTGAACTTAACGCCCTGGATAGAAAAGTCCGCACTACCATGACATCCCACAGGATGCATCATCTGAGATCGTCGGTAATGAGGCTGTACTTGCCGCGAAAGCATGGTGGGCGTGGCTTCTTGAGCGCGCTCACCATGCATAATCGCGAAGTGTGCAGCCTCCGTAATTACTTCCTGGCGAGATCGGATGATCCATTCTATAAGGACGTCATTTCTAGTGATAAAGGACTTACCCCTCTATCCTTAGCCAACGAGCAATGGCAAGACCCGGCAGTGCAGACAATTTCCGACAGGGAGAACGTATGGAAGGAGAAGGAGCTCCACGGGAGGTTCTACAAGGCTCTACATGAGCCTTTCGTAGACACAGTAGCCTCCCTCCACTGGCTACGCTTTGGTGATCTCTTCGGGGAAACCGAGGGTTTTGTCTGTGCAATACAGGATCAGGTTATTAAGACCAACAACTATCGGAGATACATCCTAAAGGACGGCACCGTCGACATCTGTCGAGCTTGTCGCCATCCCGGTGAGTCACTTAGGCATGTCATCTCCGGTTGTTCGGCGCTTTCTAACTCTGAGTACTTGCACAGGCACAACCTAGTAGCCAGAATTCTTAACCAGGAGCTCGCTCTGAAATACGGTCTCGTGGATCGGAAATTGCCGTATTACAAGTACTTGCCGGAAGCCGTGCTCGAAAATGATCGCGCCAGGCTCTATTGGGACCGGGCCATCATCACAAACAGGACTATTCTTGCGAATAAGCCTGATATTGTGCTGATGGACCGGGCACAGTCAAGGATATTTTTGGTCGACATTACCATTCCGTATGACGAGAACCTCGTGAAAGCCGAAACAGACAAGAAAACAAAATATCTGGACCTGGCTCACGAGGTGACCGACATGTGGGGTGGTCTGCCGACCGAAATTATTCCTGTAGTCGTCTCTGCAAACGGGCTAATCCCAGTCAGCCTCTCGGGTCATCTGAGGCGGCTGGGACTACGTGGCGGACCGCTCCAGGTTCAAATGCAGAAGGCGGTGCTCCTCGATACCGCCCGCATCGTCCGCCGGTTTCTTTCCCTTTCCCCCTAACCCTCGGCCGTTTGGTCGCCCCTGCCGAGGGCCTCCATCTGGTTGGGCTTTTATTTATTTATATACTTTTATATTTATTTTATGTTATTGATATTTATGTATATTTATCTTTTCATTTTCATTTATAATTATATATTTATAGAACCCAACCAGATGAGAAAACTATATAGATACTCCAAATAATAATAATAACCCTTTGCGAGACGGATTCAATTCTTTTTGGTGCCGCACTAGCAGTATGCCGTATTATTGGCGCCAAACTTCCAGTGGCTGGACGTGCTACTCAAAAAAGTAGCGCCATCCCAGCCTGGAGAAAAAGAATTGAGGACCGTATCGCAAAGGCAAGGGCCCTTATCGGCAGACTGACAAGCTTCAGGTCGGGTAATAATAGACCGAGGATTATGCGCACCGTTAGGATGGCGTTTGCTGGGACAAATATCAGTTTGTTCCAACCGCGTAACACGCAAAAACTAACGGAGGGCATAGATGACCTGAAGCAAAAAATCGCTGCTTGGGGGAAGCGGATTCGACGATTTAACGAGAGGTCAAGGCGGTTCAACCAGAATCGTCTCTTCCAGAGTGATCAGAAGAGGCTCTATAAATCATTGGAGCGACCAGAGGTATGTGGAGCGGGCCCAGGACCGGATCAGGCTGACACTGTCGCATTTTGGCGTGGCCTGTGGTCAGAGCCCGTAAACCACAGCGAAGGCCCTTGGATGGAAGTTGTGGCGAGCCACAGTGCAAGTGTTACGCCTATGGACCCCGTCACCATAACGCCTGAAGACGTGGCTGAGGCGGTCCGTAGGGCCCCGAACTGGAAAAGTCCGGGGCTCGACGGGCTGCATCATTACTGGCTGAAGGGGTTCGTAGTGTGTCACGCTGTGCTCGCCCGACAGTATCAAGAGGCTCTCGATCAGAAGTCGCTCCCGAGCCTCTTCACTACTGGGATCACTCACTTGTTTCCTAAAGATCAGGATACCACAGACCCGAGCAAATACCGCCCCATCACGTGTCTACCCACTATATATAAGACACTGACATCCATTTTGAGTGCGAGAATCACTCGTCACCTGGAGCTAAATCAGGTGATGTCACGCGCTCAAAATGGATGTCGGGGCGATGGTCGTGGAACCAAGGAACCACTCCTCATTGACGCGGTCATTGGCAAAGTGGTAAAACGCAACCGTCGGAACTTCTCCGCCGCCTGGATAGACTACAGAAAAGCATTCGACTCGGTACCTCATGCATGGCTAAAGAGGGTCCTCGAGCTGTACAAGATTGACTGTACAGTTAGAGACTTCCTCGAGCAGTGTATGGGGCAGTGGAGTACGATCCTCTGTTATCAGGGCGAGCGGATGATGGCTGCGGAGAACCACATAAGGATAAGAAGGGGTATCTTCCATTCTATAATGACGTTATTTTTGTGATAAAGGACTTACCCCTCTATCCTTAGCCAACGAGCAATGGCAAGACCCGGCAGTACAGAGCATTTCCGACAGGGAGACCGTATGGAAGGAGAAGGAGCTCCATGGGAGGTACTACAGGGCTCAACATGAGCCTCACGTAGATACAGCCGCCTCCCTCAACTGGCTACGTTTCGGTGATCTCTTCGGGGGAAACCGAGGGTTTTGTCTGTGCAATACAGGATCAGGTTATAAAGACCAACAACTATCGGAGATACATCCTAAAGGATGGCACTGTCGACGTCTGTCGAGCTTGTCGCCATCCCGAGGAGTCACTTAGGCATGTCATCTCCGGTTATTCGGCGCTTTCTAACTCTGAGTACTTGCACAGGCACAACCTAGTAGCCAGAATTCTACACCAGGAGCTCGCTCTGAAATACGGTCTCGTGGATCGGAAATTGCCGTATTACAAGTACTTGCCGGAATCCGTGCTCGAAAATGATCGCGCCAGGCTCTACTGGGACCGGGCCATCATCACAGACAGGACTATTCTTGCGAATAAGCCTGATACTCGTATTGTGCTGATGGACCGGGCACAGTCAAGGATATTTTTGATCGACATTACCATTCCGTATGACGAGAACCTCGTGAAAGCCGAAACAGACAAGCAAACAAAATATCTGGACCTTGCTCACGAGGTGATCGATATGTAGGGTGGTCTGCCGGCCGAAATTATTCCTGTAGTCGTCTCTGCGAATGGGCTAATCCCAGTCAGCCTCTCGGGTCATCTGAGGCGACTGGGACTCCGTGACGGACCGCTCCGGGCTCAAATGCAAAAGGCGGTGCTTCTCGATACCGCCCGCATCGTCCGCCGGTTTCTTTCCCTTTCCTCCTAACCCTCGGCCGTTTGGTCTCCTCTGCCGAGGACTTCCATCTGGTTGGATCTTTATTTATTTGTGTATTTTTTGTATTTATTTTATTTTATTGATATTTATGTATATTTATCTTTTCATTTTAATTCATAATTATATATTTATAGAAACCAACCAGATGAGAAAACTATACAGATACCCCTAAAATAATAATAATAATAATAATGAGGCGTAGGGAAGTGACGACCCCATCGCCCGCTGATATAACGGTTATGTGACAAAACTGCTACGTCGGTGCAGTCAGTCAGCATCTTGCCAAGAGGTGTTAGTGCCGTGCCTCGGCAAAAATTAAAGGTGCCAAGGCCCGCTTGTGCACATGGCCTAACCATGAAACGGCGCCGGGTCTGGGCGTCTCCCGCTAAATGACGCCCTAAAATGGATGATGGAATCAAATGGAACGCGCAAAGGGCCGCTGCCTGGAGGTCGCCAGGGCGCGTCTGGAGCTGGCGCTGGACGCGACAGCATGCGAACCGCCAGCCGAGCGCGAGGTGCTGCACGACCACCCAGCAGCTCCTCGCATCCATCATCCCCACCAGCTGGCTTGGTGTCGGCAGGGTCTTCGCGGGCTCAGCAATCGGCACCCGCCACTGGTGGAGTACGCCGCATGCGTTGGACAACCCAGATGAACAGCAACGCATTGCGGGCGTATTTTAGGGCGAAAGGGGGGAGAAACTGGAGGTTTTGCGTATCGGGCAAGGATGCATCGACTTTTTGCTGAGCTGGAGCCATCTGTAACCGTCACCGAGCAAAACCTGGCAGACCGAGTTCGGTATATCTTGCGCTCAAATACATTTGATGTCACCGAACTCGAACGGCTACGACGTGAGGCTGTTCCTTCATCGGGTGAAAATGCTGCGGCTGAGGATGCGGCGTCACAACTTACTGAGCAAACGGCAAATGTGGATGCCGCCGTGAATACGCCAGTTGTGGTTGATTCAAACGATGATGGAACAGTCGCCCAGGAACTGGAACTAGAGCAAATGAGGAGTACATTAGAAGAGGCGATTGTGGAAACGCGCAGTACGACTTTCGAAAATCGACCGCGACTTCCCCCGCTTAGCCCTAAGCAAGCGGAATCGGGCTGTCGTGAGGGCTCTGAACCCAATGCTGGTTACCTATTTGGAAGCCAGCCGGGACCTTTGCGATACGGACTCAATTCTTTTTGGCGCCGCACTGGCAGTCTGCCGTATTATAGGTGCCAAACTTTCCACGGCTGGACGCGCTACTGGACAAAGTAGTGCTATCCCAGCCTGGAGAATAAGAATTGAAGAACGTATCGCAAAGGCTAGGGCCCTCATCGGCAGACTGATATGCTTCAGGTCAGGCAATACCAGGCCAAGGATTGTGCGCACCGTCAGGATGGCGTTTGCTGGGACAAATGTTAGTTTGTCCCAGCCGGATATAATGCAAAAACTGACGGAGCGCATAGACGACCTGAAGCAAAGAATAGCTGCTTGGGGAAAGCGGATTCGGCGATATACCGAGAGGTCGACACGGTTCAACCAGAATCGTCTCTTCCAGAGTGATCAGAAGAGGCTCTATAAATCATTGGAGCGACCAATAGTAAGTGGAACGGGCCCTGCACCAAATCAGGCCGACATGGTCGCATTCTGGCGCAGCCTGTGGTCAGAGCCCGTAAACCACAACGAGGGCCCTTGGACGGAAGTTGTGGCGAGTCAGTGTGCGAGTATTACGCCCATGGACCCCGTCATCATAACGCCGGATGACGTAGCTGAGGCGGTCCGTAGGGCCCCGAACTGGAAAAGTCCGGGGCTTGACGGGCTGCATCACTACTGGCTGAAGGGGTTCATGGTGTGTCACTCTGTGCTCGCCCGACAGTTTCAAGAGGCTCTCAACCAGAAGTCGCTCCCAAGCCTCTTCACTACTGGGATCACTCATTTGGTTCCTAAAGATCAGGGTGCCACAGACCCGAGCAAATACCGCCCCATCACGTGTCTACCGACCATATACAAGACACTAACATCCATTTTGAGCGCAAGAATCGCTCGTCACCTGGACTTAAATCAGGTGATGTCGCGCGCTCAAAATGGATGTCGGGGCGGCGGTCGTGGAACCAAGGAACCACTCCTCATTGACGCGGTCATTGGCAAAGTGGTGAAACGCAACCGTCGGAACTTCTCCGCCGCCTGGATAGATTACAGAAAGGCATTTGACTCGGTGCCCCATACATGGCTAAAGAGGGTCCTCGAGCTGTACAAGATTGACTGTACAGTTCGAGACTTCCTCGAGCAGTGTATGGGGCAGTGGAGTACGATCCTCTGTCATCTAGGCGAGCGGATGACGGCTGCGGAAAGCCGCATAAGGATAAGAAGGGGTATATTCCAGGGCGACTGTCTGAGTCCAATTTGGTTCTGCCTCTCTTTGAACCCTCTCAGTACTTTACTGGAGGGCTCCCGGAGGGGATTTCAGCTTCGGAAAGGAGGTACAAAAGTGACCCACCTTTTCTATATGGATGACCTCAAATTATTCGCCTCCAGTCGTTCCCATCTTATGGAATTGCTAAACATCACGTGTGAATTTAGCAATTCTATTAGAATGGAGCTGGGGACGGATAAGTGTGCGGTCCTCCATGTTGAAAGGGGAAGGGTTGCTAACTCTGAGGGCATAGACTTATCTATGCCCGTCAACTTAAGAACCCTTTCCGAGGCTGAAACATACCGATACCTGGGTATGTCACAGAACATCGGTATCGATGAGGCTGGTATGAAACAGTCAGTTTGCGACGTGTTTTATGCACGCTTGACCAAAGTGCTTAACAGCCTTTTGTTCGGTGTGAATAAGGCACACGCATATAATGGTTGGGTCATGCCTGTCCTCATGTATACCTTTGGCATACTCAGGTGGACTCAGACTGAACTTAACGCCCTGGACAGAAAAGGCCGCACTACCATGACGTCCCATAGGATGCATCATCCGAGAGCGTCGGTAATGAGGCTGTACTTGCCGTGGAAGCATGGTGGTCGTGGCTTCTTGAGCGCGCTCACCATGCATAATCGCGAAGTGTGCAGCCTCCGTGATTACTTCCTGGCGAGATCGGATGATCCTTTCTATAAGGACGTCATTTCTTGTGATAAAGGACTTACCCCTCTATCCTTAGCCAACGAGCAATGGCAAGACCCGGCAGTGCAGAGCATTTCCGACCGGGAGACCGTATGGAAGGAGAAGGAGCTCCACGGGAGGTTCTACAAGGCTCTACATGAGCCTTTCGTAGACACAGTAGCCTCCCTCCACTGGCTACGCTTTGGTGATCTCTTCGGGGAAACCGAGGGTTTTGTCTGTGCAATACAGGATCAGGTTATTAAGACCAACAACTATCGGAGATACATCCTAAAGGATGGCACCGTGGACATCTGTCGAGCTTGTCGCCATCCCGGTGAGTCACTTAGGCATGTCATCTCCGGTTGTTCGGCGCTTTCTAACTCTGAGTACTTGCACAGGCACAACCTAGTAGCCAGAATTCTTAACCAGGAGCTCGCTCTAAAATACAGTCTCGTGGATCGGAAATTGCCGTATTACAAGTACTTGCCGGAAGCCGTGCTCGAAAATGATCGCGCCAGGCTCTATTGGGACCGGGCCATCATCACAGACAGGACTATTCTTGCGAATAAGCCTGATATTGTGCTGATGGACCGGGCACAGTCAAGGATATTTTTGGTCGACATTACCATTCCGTATGACGAGAACCTCGTGAAAGCCGAAACAGATAAGCAAACAAAATATCTGGACCTGGCTCACGAGGTGACCGACATGTGGAGTGGTCTGCCGACCGAAATTATTCCTGTAGTCGTCTCTGCAAACGGGCTAATCCCAGTCAGCCTTTCGTATCATCTGAGGCGGCTGGGACTACGTGGCGGACCGCTCCAGGCTCAAATGCAGAAGGCGGTGCTCCTCGATACCGCCCGCATCGTCCGCCGGTTTCTTTCCCTTTCCCCCTAACCCTCGGCCGTTTGGTCTCCCCTGCCGAGGGCTTCCATCTGGTTGGGCTTTTATTTATTTATGTATTTTTTATATTTATTTTATTTTATTGATATTTATGTATATTTATGTTTTCATTTTCGTTTATAATTATATATTTATACATCCCAACCAGATGAGAAAACTATATAGATACCCCACATAAGAATAATAAGAGCCGAAACAGATAAGCAATCAAAATATCTGGACCTGGCTCACGAGGTGACCGACATGTGGGGTGGTCTGCCGACCGAAATTATTCCTGTAGTCGTCTCTGCGAATGGGCTAATCCCAGTTAGCCTCTCTGGTCATCTGAGGCGACTGGGACTCCGTGACGGACCGCTCCGGGCTCAAATGCAGAAGGCGGTGCTCCTTGATACTGCCCGCATCGTCCGCCGGTTTCTTTCCCTTTCACCCTAACCCTTGGCCGTTTGGTCTCCCCTGCCGAGGGCTTCCATCTGGTTGGGCTTTTATTTATTTATGTATTTTCGTATTTATTTTATTTTATTGATATTTATGTATATTTGTCTTTTCATTTTCGTTTATAATTATATATTTATACATCCCAACCAGATGAGAAAACTATATAGATACCCCACACATAATAATAATAATAATAATAACCGTGCTCGAAAATGACCGCGCTAGGCTCTACTAGGACCGGGACATCATCATAGACAGGACTGTTCTTGCGAAAAAGCCTGATATTGTGCTGATGGACCGGGCACAGTCAAGGATATTTTTGGTCGACATTACCATTCCGTATGACGAGAACCTCGTGAAAGCCGAAACAGATAAACGAACAAAATATCTGGACCTGGCTCACGAGGTGACCGATATGTGGAGTGGTCTGCCGGCCGAAATTATTCCCGTAGTCGTCTCTGCGAATGGGCTAATCCCAGTTAGCCTCTCGGGTCATCTGAGGCGACTGGGACTCCGTGACGGACCGCTCCGGGCTCAAATGCAAAAGGCGGTGTTTCTCAATACCGCCCGCATCGTCCGCCGGTTTCTTTCCCTTTCCTCCCAACCCTCGGCCGTTTTGTCTCCCCTGCCGAGGGCTTCCATCTGGTTGGGCTTTTATTTATTTATGTATTTTTGTATTTATTTTATTTTATTGATATTTATGTATATTTATCACTTCATTTTAATTTATAATTATATATTTATATAACCCAACCAGATGAGAAAACTATATAGATACCACAAATAATAATAATAATAATAGTCGAAGTACCAGCGGTTAGCTGAAGAAATCCGACAGTTAAGGCGACAGCAGCAGGTACTTATCGTCCCGCTGATTCTCTCTACCACGGGAGTTGTTCCTAAATCCCTTACTGACAATTTAGCTAAGATGGGCATTTCAGTGAGGGTGAGGAACAAAATTCAAAAAGCCGTAATTTTGGATACGACAGCGATAGTACGTCGCTACCTCACAATTTAAACAAAAGAGCGGCATCTTGCGATCAGCCGCTGCCACATCTTAAAACCCTAAAAGGAGCGTTAATGGATAACCCACAATAATAGTCGTTCGAGTTCGGCATCATCAAATATTTTCGAGCGCATGATGTACCGAACTTGGTCTGCCAGGTTTTGTTCCGTGACGGGGATAGAAGGCTCCAGCTCTGCAAAAAAGCAATGCATCCGAGCCCTATACGCTATTCCCACAGTTTCTTCCCCTTTCGCCCTATAGTACGCTCGCAATGCGTTTTCGTTCATAAATTTTGTCCAACGCATGCGACGTGCTCCACCAGCGGCGGGTGCCGCTTGCTGAGTCCGAAAAGACCCAGCCGACACCAAGCCTTCTGGTGGGGATGATGGATGCGAGGGGCTGCTAGGTGATCGTGCAGCTCCTCGCGCTCGGCTGGCGGCCCGCATGCTGCCGCGTCCAGCGCCAGCTCCAGACGCGCCCCGGCGACCCCCAGGCAGCGGCCCTTTGCATATGGTTCCTTTCTGTGCCATCATCCATTTTATAATAAATAGAAAATATTTGATGATGCCGAACTCGAACGACTACGACGTGAGGCTATTCCATCGTTGAATGAATCGGCTATGGCTGGAGATTCAGCTCCACATCCGACAGACCAGCATCCACAAGTGGAAGCCGCCATGGATCTTCCAGTTGTGGTTGATTCGAACGATGATGAAATAGTCTCCCATGAACTAGAGCAAATGAGGAGTATATTGGAAGAGGCGATTTTGGAAACGCGCAGCACCCCTCTCGAAAATCGACCGCGACTTCCCCGCATACCCCTAAGCAAGCGAATTCGGGCTGTCGTGAGGGCTCTTAACCCAATGCTGGTGACCTATTTGGAAGCCAGCCAGGACCTTTGCGAGACGGACTCGATTCTCTTTGGCGCCGCAGTGGCAGTTTTCCGTATTATTGGCGCCAAACTTCCCATGACTGGACGCGCTACTACACAAAGTAGCGCCATCCCAGCCTAGAGAAAAAGCATCGAGGACCGTATCGCAAAGGCAAGGGCCCTTATCAGCAGACTGACAAGCTTCAGGTCGGGTAATAATAGACCGAGGATTGTGCGCACCGTTAGGATGGCGTTTGCTGGGACAAATATCAGTTTATCCCAGCCGGATATCACGCAGAAACTAACGGAGCGCATAGACGACCTGAAGCAAAAGATCGCTGCTTGGGGGAAGGGGATTCGACGATTTACCGAGAGGTCAAGGCGGTTCAACCAGAATCGTCTCTTCCAGAGTGATCAGAAGAGGCTCTATAAATCATTGGAGCGACCAAAGGTATGTGGAGCGGGCCAAGGACCGGATCAGGCTGACATTATCGCATTCTGTCGTGGCCTGTGGTCAGAGCCCGTAAACCACAGCCAGGGCCCTTGGATGGAAGTTGTGGCGAGCCAGGGTGCGAGTGTTACGCCTATGGACCCCATCACCATAACGCCGGAAGACGTGCTGACGCGATCCGTAGGGCCCCGAACTGGAAAAGTCCGGGGCTCGACGGGCTGCATCATTACTGGCTGAAGGGGTTCATAGTGTGTCACGCTGTGCTCACCTGACAGTTTCAAGAGGCTCTCGACCAGAAGTCGCTCCCGAGCCTCTTCACTACTGGGATCACTCACTTGGTTCCTAAAGATCAGGATACCACAGACCCGAGCAAATACCGCCCCATCACGTGTCTACCCACTATATACAAGACACTAACGTCCATTTTGAGCGCGAGAATCATTCGTCACCTGGTCTCAAATCAGGTGATGTCGCGCGCTCAAAATGGATGTCGGGGCGGCGGTCGTAAAACCAAGGAACCACTCCTCATTGACGCGGTCATTGGTAAAGTGGTGAAACGCAACTGTCGGAACTTCTCCGCCGCCTGGATAGACTACAGAAAGGCATTTGATTCGGTGCCCCATACATGGCTAAAGAGGGTCCTCGAGCTGTACAAGATTGACTGTACAGTTCGAGACTTCCTCGAGCATTGTATGGGGCAATGGAGTACGATCCTTTGCTATCTGGGCGAGCGGATGATGGCTGCGGAGAACCACATAAGGATAAGAAGGGGTATCTTCCAGGGCGATTGTCTGAGTCCAATCTGGTTTTGCCTCTCCCTGAACCCTCTCAGTACTTTACTGGAGGGCTCCGGGAGGGGTTTCAGCTTCGGAAAGGAGGTACAAAAGTGACCCACCTTTTCTATATGGATGACCTCAAGTTATTCGCCTCCAGTCGCTCCCATCTTATGGAATTGCTAAACATCACTTGTGAATTTAGCAATTCTATTGGAATGGAGCTGGGAACGGATAAGTGTGCGGTCCTCCATGTTGAAAGGGGGGAGGGTTGCTAACTCTGAGGGCATAGACTTATCTATGCCCGTCAACTTAAGGACCCTTTCCGAGGCTGAAACATACCGATACCTGGGTATGTCACAGAACATCGGTATCGATGAGGCTGGTATGAAACAGTCAGTTTGCGACGTGTTTTATGCACGCTTGACCAAAGTGCTTAACAGCATTTTGTCCGGTGTGAATAAGACACACGCATATAACGGCTGGATCATGCCTGTCCTCATGTATACCTTTGGCATACTCAGGTGGACTCAGACTGAACTTAACGCCCTGGATAGAAAAGTCCGCACTACCATGACATCCCACAGGATGCATCATCCGAGATCGTCGGTAATGAGGCTGTACTTGCCGCGAAAGCATGGTGGGCGTGGCTTCTTGAGCGCGCTCACCATGCATAATCGCGAAGAGTGCAGTCTCCGTCAATACTTCTTGGCGAGATCGGATGATCCATTCTATAATGTCGTCATTTCTAGTGATAAAGGGCTTACCCCTCTATCCTTAGCCAACGAGCAACGGCAGGACATGAGACGACGCCATGACTAGGGTTGCAACGCAACCACAACGCAACTGCGAGAAGCTGCAGTGACACTATTCACACATGACCACATTTTGTCGCTGCGATGTGGTGTGTTTGTGGTACGTCTGGGTCGACCCTATATGGCGTATATGGGATCGGATTGATATCGCATTTAGAATAACGTCACTTAGCTTAATTTATTTTGTCATCCAATTGTCATCCAAACTAAACGTGTATGCAAAACTTCAACTCAATCTGTTTAATAACTGTTTTAAAATTCAGTTGCAAGATTTGACCTTAACAAACATACAAACATTGCAAGTTAAATAAGAGCTTGTTATAATTTATAATAAAATAAATACTTGTAAAAAAACTAATTGCTCCCTGATAATTTTATGATTTACTTTTTCGACTTGATATTGAACGCAATTCCGACGCCATAAATAAAATTCAGCACGATTTTTCGACGTTCAACGTTCTACTTTAAAAGTCACGACCTAAATGTAGAGATGTTAAAAGCTACATTATTATACAGCAACCTTGGTAAAGTTGTTTAAAAGCCCATAAATTGTTATTTTACGTTTTAAGTATTTTGTATATTATTTTTAAAAAACCTAAATGTGTGTAAAAATCCCATTACATTTTTATTCAGTAGTAGGTAAAAAGAGGATTAATATATCCTTTTTATTATTAATTTCAATACATTTTGTATTGGAATTATCAAATCCTGTTTTTACACACTGCTGTAAAGTTTATTTAAAACCTATGGTGCTTTCCAGTAAGTGCTTTCCTCTTTAAATTAAAATAAGCTGTTCTTTTGATTTTTTTTCTTTGTTGTGTCCTTCTCTTAGCAGCTCATATTAGTTCCTGTATAAAGGTACCGGCTGGATATAACAAATTAGGTCATAGCAAGTGCATTGTCCAAAGTCTGCCACGTGCCACGTCAGCCATCTTGTTTGGTTATAGAGAACCACGCACATACAGTCCACCTATAGTTAACCTCACATACAAATTTTCAAGGTCAAAATCCCCGGAAACGAACCCGGGACCTTACCGCCGTACCACTATAAAAATAATAATAATGTCTTTCAGGACGAATTTCGGTCACAGTGGTCAGTCTAAACAGAGGCTAGCCATCCAATCAGCAAGCCAGCACAGGATGAGATTATATTGCACAAGTGTGAGGATAAGCACAGGTGCATTATCTACTCTCTCATTTTTTAGGCCGATGGGACGGCAATCTCACAAGACCGAAGAGAGATCGTTCTCAACGTCGCATACGGTTTATAGTTAGGCCGTATTCAGTGCTCTCCTGACGGTCGGGACTGACGGTCAGTGCGTACGCACGCACTGACCGTCAGTCGGCTTTATGCATTCAGTGCTCCACTGACCACCGTACGGAACAGCAGGGTATAGTCGTGATGTATACGTTTATAAATTGTTTAATTACTCTTTACTATTTGAGGCGATTACGAATGAAAAAAAAACGAAGAAGATATCACGTACATCCAGTTATTGCTAACAGGCTACTTGAAGGAGAATTCAGTACTCTGTTTTCAAAACTTAGAAATTATAATGAAAAATTCTCTGATTATTTTGGGATGTCAGTAAAAAGTTTTGATGAACTGCTGGCAAGAATTCAGGATCATATTAAACATCATAACATGTTTAGGATTCCAGTACGACCCGTTGAAAGACTTGCTGTGACATTGAGGTAAGATAAAATCGAAAATATTTTCGTAGTCGGGTGCTATTCCACTCATCAAATTTCTTTGATCAAAATATCAGTGCATTTTTCTAATAATATCAACATAAAAGTCAGCTTTCTCTTTTTGTTGGATAAAATTGATGGGTAGAATGGCTGGCACCCTTACATAGAGTACTTTTAAATATGAAATTAGAGACCTTTAAATATGAAATAGGCAAATTAAACATGTTTATGTGCTAAGTTTAATAAGTTTAATAAGTAATTTAGGTAATACAATCAGTTAAGTAATTTAGGGAATGCAATCAGTATTATCAGTATCATGTGATTGTCAGTCATTGCTTAAAATTAATATACTGAGACAAATCAGATGATGGGTTTTCCAAATTTTGTGATGTGCTCGTATAAGCGAAATTACGATTAGTTGTCACTACGTTTTGAAACGAAGGTTCTTCAACTGAATACAAAACTATGTCTCGAGATCCTGGTGATGGTATATTGAAGCTGGAAGCAGACAAAGATGTGATTACCGAATTTTGTGATGTATGTGCGATATTTTGATTAGTTCTCACTACATTTTGAGACGAAGGTTCTTCAACTGAATACAAAACTATGTCTTGAGATCCTGATGGTAGAGATTCTGGTGATGCTATATTCATGCTGGAAGTAGAAGATTCAGGGCGAGAGGTAGATGCATACATTGGTGAAGCAAGAGGAGTGATAGACGAAGGGCAGTTACAAATTTCCAGGGCTTTATTCATTACTGCAGTACGGAACATAACTTTTTGACGATTGTCGAATGTCCGTGTTAAAGGTAAAAGAGAATAAAAAAATGCCATATCGTCATTTTGAATAATTTCGCTGTTTTTTGTTAAAAACTCCAAGATGTTTTTATCGAAGTAGCTGTCTTCATTAGTTTTTGCGTTTTTACGCTTCCTTGATGGGTTTGTGTTAGGAGTAGAGCTAGATTGTTTAGTTGTGTTTGAAGAATCTTGTCTAACTTGGCTGGAACACTGTGGTTGGGTTTCTGGATTGGTGGATACTGTTTCAGTAGAACGTGGATTGATTGGAGACTCTAAATTTGAATCTTGTTGTGTATCTTCTCTTGTTTCATTTTCTTCAATAGAATCTTCGGTGTCGGCAACATGTTTTTTGTCAAGAAACTGTAAATGTTTGAAAAATACGTATTTGGTTCTCTTTCCGCCTTCCGATCCCGATTTCACAGATTTCATAGAATTTTTGCATCTCATGTAAGCATCTCTCGCAGTTCTCCATCTTTGTTGTACACTTTTTTCTGTAAATAATAAATAAAAAAAAATTGTGTTTTTTGTTCCAGGTACTTAAGAACTGGACAAACGTTTTCGGACTTACATTTCAGTTATCAACTTGGCAAATCAACTATTTGTCTCATTGTTCGAGAAGTTTGCCTGACTATTTGGAATGTGCTTCACAGTGAATGTCTTTCGCTCCCTAGGTTCCCTGAAGATTGGCTTAAAATTGCTTCAGGATTTGAGCAGGTTGCCAACTTTCCGAATTGTGTAGGATGCCTAGATGGCAAACACGTGAGAATTGTTTGTCCCGAAAAGAGCGGTAGCTTATTTTTAAATTACAAGAAGCATTTTTCCATCAATCTACTAGCAATGTGTGATTCAGAGTATCGTTTTACATATATACATGTTGGTTCGTGTGGGTCAGACTCTGATTCAACAATTTTCAAGAATACTAGTTTGTACACAAAATTACATAATGGAGAACTAAATTTACCAAGTGCTAAGCCATTACCTAATACCACTGAACCAATGCCATATGTGCTAATAGGCGATGGAGCGTTTGGAATATCGAATAAAGTCTTAAGACCTTATGTTCGCAGCAATATGACACATAAAAAGAAAATATTTTATTATAGATTAAGTCGGGCGAGAAGGTACATTGAATCGACGTTTGGAATAATGTCCAATAAATT